GGTAGAGCGCTAGCCTTGAGCTGAAGAGCTGAGGGACAGGGCCCAGGCCTAGAGTTCAGGCCCCACGACCGGACCCAAAAAAAAAAAAGTTGGGGGGGAGAGGGGCACTGGATCTGAACATTTTGAGGGAGAAGATAAGCTTACCCTTTTCCTCCCAAGGCTGCAGAGCTTTCTGAGGTGAAAGTCTCAGAGTTCATGCCCTTGTCTAAGTAACCATTCTTCCTATGGAGCAGATGCCTGCCCCATTTATAGGGTAGAACTTACTGGTTTTATTTGGTAGAAGCTTAGCTTGAAGCTAAATTTTAAGCTTAGCCCTAAGGGCCTAAGAATGTAGCTCAGTGGTAGTGCATTTGCCTAGCATGCATGAGCCCCTTTATTCTATCAGGTAATAACAAAAAACAGCAAACAACAACAACAAACACCAGCCAGGCACCAGTGACTCCTAGCTGTTTAAGAGGCTGAGACCTGAGGATCAGGATTCAAAGCCAGCCCAGGCAGGGAAGACCATGAGACTTTTCTTTCTTTCTTTCTTTCTTTCTTTCTTTCTTTCGTTCTTTCTTTCTTCCTTCCTTCCTTCCTTTCTGTCTTTGTCTTTCTGTCTTTCCTTCTGTCTTTTTTTTTTTTTTTTTTGCCAGTCCTGAGGCTTGAGCTCTGGGCCTGGGTGCTTTCCCTGAGCTCCTTTTGCTGAAGGCTAGTACTCTTATCATTTGAGCCCCAGAGCCACTTTTTCTGTAAATTAATTGGAGGTAAGAGTCTCAAAGACTTTCCTCTCCAGGCTGGCTTGGAGCCCATGATCCTCAGATCTCAACCTCCTAAGTTGGTAGGATTACAGGCGTGAGCCATTAGTGCCTGGCTCCATGAGACTTTTATCTCCAATAACCAAAAAAGCTTGAAGTGGAACTGTGGCTCAAAATTGTAGAGTGCTTGCTTTTAGCAAAAAGAGCTCAGGGACAGCACCTAGGCCCTGAGTTCAAGCCTCACGACTGACAAAAATACCCCAAAGACTGTCCTTGGAACTGGGAGCATTTGAAGATCTTGCTCAGAATACTCAGCATTAGTATGTTTGTTCCTCTCTCCTTTTTTACAGAAAAGACCCTACATTCTTCCTTTGTCTCTATAGGCCTCATCAGACTTTCCTTCTCCCGCGTCTGCATATTCCTTACTTCTCTGTTGGCTGGTCCTCTGATATATGGACTTAAACATGATGAACTGTGAACTTCTAGCCACTTGTAGTGCCCTAGGGTACTTGGAGGGAGACACTTACCACAAGGAACCAGATTGCTTAGGTGAGTATCTTTTTGAGGAATCAGGTAAAAACTCTATTGACTTGAGGAGATCTGTCTCCGGGAGGCGCTTGGGTGGAGTTTCTCCTGGGGTTCTAGGTACAAGCTTCATTCTGTCTGTCTTCAGAGAGTGTGAAAGATTTGATCCGTTACTTGAGGCATGAGGATGAGACCCGGGATGCACGACAGCAGCTGGGAGCAGCCCAGATCCTGCAGAGTGACCTTCTACCCATCCTCACCCAGCACCGCCAGGACAAGCCTCTCTTTGATGCCGTCATCAGGTTTCATTTCCCAGCCTTTTGATTTTCACCATGCATGTAGCTGCATTTGTGGGTGTTTTTTTGTTTGTTTTGTTTTTTGGTCATGGGGCTTGAACTGGGCTTGGGTGCTGCCCCTCAGCTCTTCAGCTCAAGGCTAGCGCTCTGCTACTTGAGCCACAGTGCCACTTTCAGTTTTCTGAGTGGTTTATTGGAGATAAGAGTCTCACGGATGTTCCTGCCCAGGCTGGCTTTGAATCCTGATCCTTGGATCTCAGCCTCCTGAGTAACTAGGATTACAGGAGTGAGCTACTAGCACCTGGCTGCATTTGTGTTTAAGCATTGTGTTTGGTGTGTTTGTGCCTGCCTAATTACTTCTTTCTTCTTCATCGTCTCCCCAGACTGATGGTGAACTTGACACAACCAGCCTTACTCTGTTTCGGCAGTGTGCCTAAGGAGGCCAGTGTGCGGCACCACTTTCTGCAGGTGCTAGGCTATCTGCAGGCTTACAAAGAGGTGAGGCCTTCTTTCGGTGGCCCCATGTCAGAGTTTGGGACAGTGGGGAAAGAAGAGATGCGTACCATATATAAGATCTGTTCCCTGTTTGCAGGCCTTTGCCAGTGAGAAGGCTTTTGGAGTCCTTAGTGAAACGTTGTATGAGCTGCTACAGCTGGTGAGTGAGCCTTCAGCACTCTGCACTTTCCCTGTACAGAGGAGATGCTGGGTCTAGAGATATCCCTATACTGGGATATCTTGGGAATATGATAGTCTACTGTATAATCACCTAGCCTCTTCAGGACTTTTTTCTTTTTCTTTTTCTTTTTTGGTCTATCGTGGGTCTTAAACTCTGGGCCTGGGAGCTATCCCTCAGCTCTTCAGCTCAAGCCTAGCGCTCTACCACTTGAGCCACAGTGCCACTTCCAGTTTTCTGGTGGTTAATTGGAGATAAGAGTCTCATGGACTTTCCTACCCTTCCTGCCCGGGCTGGCTTTGACCCCTGATCCTCATATCTCAGCCTCCTGAGTAGGTAGACTTACAGGCATGAGCTATCAGTACCCAGCTTTGAACTCTTTTTTTAAATTCTGATTCTCTTCTGCAGCCTGAGTAGATGTCACCTGCTTTCCACAGGGAGTCTCTCCTTCTCATTCTTTCCTTCTGACTAGGGCTGGGAGGAACGGCAGGAAGAAGACAACATACTGATTGAGAGGATCCTGCTGCTGGTCAGAAATATTCTACATGTTCCAGCAGACCTTGAGCAGGAAAAGGTGAGGGTCTTGGAGCATCTGAGTTCCTACACTTGGTTTGGTTGTACTTGCCTTTTTTTTTTGGTCGTGGGGTCTGAACTCTGGGCCTGGGCACTGTCCCTCAGCTCTTCAGCTCAAGGCTAGTGCTTCACCACTTGAGCCAAGCACCACTTCCAGCTTTTTCTGCTCTTGTGGTGCTGAGGAATCTAACCCAGGGCTTCATGCATGCAAGGCTAGCACTGTACCACTGAGCCACCTTCCCAGCCCCATGCTTCCCTTTTTAAGCCTTCCTGCCTTGGGGAGGAACCTTGGACCCAGGAGTGAGGTAGAAAACTCTTGGGCTGGGCCATGGAACTGAGCACGCTCCCTTCCTCTCCTTGCCACTCACTGCACAGAGGATCGATGATGATGCCAGTGTCCATGACCAGCTTCTCTGGGCGATTCACCTCAGTGGCTTGGATGACCTGCTCCTCTTCTTGGCCAGCTCATCTGCTGAGCAGCAGTGGAGCCTGCATGTGCTAGAGATTGTCTCCCTTATGTTTCGTGACCAGGTGAGACCCTTGGCTAGTGCCCCAGTACCCTCCATCTGTATTATGCTACCTGATCAGAACTGCTTTTGTAATAATGATGGCTGAATCATGTACAGAACACAGGGTATGGAGTAGAGAAGGCATGTCTTCAGTCTAGGTTCCTGTCACAATTCCATTCAATCCCCAATAGGAATGTGCTCGGGATGAAGAATGATAGTTCTGACTGTCGCCTCTTTGCTCCAAATCTAGAACCCTGAGCAGCTGGCAGGAGTAGGGCAGGGACGCTTAGCCCAGGAGCGGAACATGGATGTGACAGAACTGGAGGTGTTGCGTCAGCGAGAGATGGCAGAAAAGAAGACGCGAGCGTTCCAGCGAGGCAACAGGTGAATCACAGCTGCTCTGCCTCGTTGATATTAAGTTCTGCTTAATATCAAGGACCCTGAGTGCCGGAGCCAATTCAGAGATTGTAGAGTGGATAACACTTGGAAGCTCTCACTGGCCCTGAAATGCTGGTGAAAGAGTAGGGTAAAGTTTCCAGAGAATGGAGGGATCACTTTGGCCTTTGTTTTCCTCCCTACAGGCACTCTCGATTTGGGGGCTCCTACATTGTCCAGGGGTTGAAGTCCATTGGGGAGAGGGACCTCATATTTCACAAAGGCCTTCACAATGTGAGTATTTGCACATCTGGGGTGGGCACACTGGAGTTATAGGAGATGGGTATCTCTTTTTTTTTTTTGCAGTACTGGGGCTTGAACTCAGGGCCTGAAATTTGTTTGCCTGGTGCTCTACCACTTCAGCCATGTCCCCAACTAGCTTCTTTATAAGTTTAGGAAGTCAGTGACTGAAAATGAAGTAGAACTTTCTAATGTGGTATTCGCCACATTATCTCCTATCAGAGGCAGGGAACCTTTAAGAAGGTTCTGAAGCTGGGACTGTGGCTTAGTGGTAGAATGCTTACATGAAGTTCTGGGTTCGATTCCTCAGCACCACATAAACAGAAAAAGCCAGAAACGGAGCTGTGGCTCAAGTGGTAGAAAACTAGCCTTGAGCAAAAGAAGCTCAGGGATGGTGCCTAGGCCCTGAGTTCAAGCCCCAAGACTGGCAAAAGAAAAAAGAAAAAAAAAAGAGAAAGAAAGAGAGAGAGAGAGAGAAAGAACAAAAAAGGAAAAAAGAAAAAGGTTCTGAGGAAATTGCAGCACCAGGGATGAGAAAAGAGCTATAGAGGAGGGTGATGGCTAGAAGTAATTCTCACTCCTCAACCTATACCACCAGCTCCGAAACTACAGTTCCGATTTGGGGAAGCAGCCCCGAAGGCTACCTAAACGTCGTCAGGCTGCCAAGGAGCTGTCCATCCAGCGCCGCTCAGCCCTCAACGTGAGGCTGTTCCTCAGAGACTTCTGCTCTGAGTTCCTGGAGAACTGTTACAACCGGCTCATGGGTGCAGTAAAGGTGAGTCAGCAGGGATAGAGAGGCAGTCTGGGATAGAATAGTCAAGTGGCCAGAGACGTGATGTGGCCAGTATGGATAAGAATGGCAATCTAAGCTGGGCACTGGTGGCTCATGCCTGTAATCCTAGCTACTGAGGAGGCTGAGATCTGAGGATTGCGGTTCAAAGCCAGCCCAGGCAGGAAAGTCTGTGAGACTCTTATCTCTAACCACCAGAAAACCAGAAGTGGTGCTGTGGCTCAAGTGATAGAGCGCTCATCTTGAGCTGAAGAGCTGAGGGACAGCACACAGGCCCAGGGCTCAAGCCCCATAACTGACAAAAAGAAAAAAAAAAAAAGTATGGTAACCTAGCCAGACGCTGGTGGCTCTCACCTGTAATTCTAGAAGGAACAAATGAGTGCCGCTGAGAAACTAAGATGCCAAGAAGGGAATGGGTCATTGGCATGATCAAAAAGATTCTAGGGGCTGGGAAGGTGGCTCAGTGGAAGAGTGCTTGCCTTGAAAAAGATTCTAGAGTAATTGCCCCAGAGTAAGGGGAGGGAGATACGCACAGATGGGGAAGAGCAAGAGAACTGGGAATTGTGGATCCTGGAGAAGACTATATAGTTGTATCGAGGATGTACCCCGTCATACCAAGAATTTGGAATCCATGAGGTCATGGCTTTTTTTTTCCCTTCTTGATCTGATTGTTAGGATCACCTGCTTCGTGAGAAAGCTCAACAGCATGATGAGACCTATTATATGTGGGCCTTAGCTTTCTTCATGGCCTTCAACCGAGCTGCCTCCTTCCGCCCAGGCTTAGTTTCTGAAACCCTCAGTGTCCGTGCCTTTCACTTCATTGAGCAGAATCTTACCAACTACTATGAAATGATGCTGACTGATCGTAAAGAAGCCGCCTCTTGGGCACGCAGGTGAGGGGGGTGGTTAACTCCCATCTTGGCCAGATGGGAGTCTGAATACCTGAATTTCAGATGATACTGTTTCCAGATTCAGAGTAAAGTGGTCAGGGTAGGGAGCAAGGACTAGCAGGTTTTTCTGTTTGGGGAAATACTTTGTGTGTGTGGTGGGGGGCATGTTTCTATAAGCCAGTATGCTAAGTTGTCCATTTTGGGCCTTCAATTCCCAGAATGCATCTGGCCCTAAAGGCCTATCAGGAGTTGCTGGCCACCGTGAATGAGATGGACATGTCTCCGGATGAGACTGTGAGGGAGAGCAGTCGTATCATCAAAAGTGAGGCCTGGCCTATTCTCTTTTCCCAGCATCCCCTTCCTTTCCGTGTGTGTGTGTGTGTGTGTGTGTGTGCAAAAGTGAGGCCTGGCCTATTCTCTTTTCCCAGCATCCCCTTCCTTTCCGTGTGTGTGTGTGTGTGTGTGTGTGTGTGTGTGTTTTGTGACAAGATCGCAGCATGTAGCCTAGGCTGGCATCCAACTGGTAATCCTCCTATCTCAGCCTCTGGAATGTTAGAATTACAGGCATGTGCCACCATATCCCTTCTCATTCTTCCCAATCCCAGCTTCATTCACCTTTTCATTTTCCAGGCTTCCCAGACCAATCCTTCCCTTCCTTTCTCTTCCTCACTCCTAGACAACATTTTCTATGTGATGGAATACCGAGAACTGTTCTTGACACTCTTTCGAAAGTTTGACGAGCGATGTCAGCCCCGCTCTTTCCTTCGTGACCTGGTGGAAACCACTCACCTCTTCCTCAAGATGTTGGAGCGGTTCTGTCGGAGCCGTGGGAACCTAGTGGTGCAGGTACTAGGCGGCCCCTAGTGTGGAAAGAGCTCTAGAGGAGGGTGAAGGACAGAGGGTTCTTTCTCCTCAGGTTTTCTGCAAGCTTAAGCTGATTTGTTAGAACTACTCTAAAGTGACTGCTAAGTAGTAACTTTGCCTAGTAACTAGGAAAAGATAGTTCTAACAGCATAATATTTATTTCTTATGATACTAAAAGGTCTGTGGTATTGCCTGTGTGAGTCTACTATAGTTTCCTTTTCCCATTAGATTAATTCATGAGCTGCTATAATTAATTCAGTAAACATTTAGTGAACATTTACAAGCACATAAGCCTTGAGCCATTCATAGTTTTAAGAGTTCACAAATTATGCTGTAGTATTTCCTGGTATGTTTCAGCAATGTTATGGTCAAATGGAGAAAACCTGAAACTGAAAGTAAGGAAATTAGGGATCTAATCATGTTAGTTATTCTAGTTAGTTGTAACTAGAATAAAGTCAGTTGATCATATCAATTTCTAGATCCTTATACTGGGATTGTAATATCTATTCATGACTCCCAAGTCAAATGAAAAGCCAAGCATGAGAGGAAAACTCCAAGGAATTTGTATTCTGGAGACATAGGAGACTCTGCTTTGTAAGAACACATTTTGTACCAGAACCTCCCTATAATTAATTCTAGGTTCTATAGCTTAAAATTCTGAAGCAACTATATACCAACGAGAGTTTGCCAAAGGTACTTTTTATATTTAGACTCTGGTATTATCAGTAATAATAGGTACTGTCATTTATCCAGTTGGTGTGTGTATGTGTGTGTGTGTACACTTTTTTTTTTTTTTTTTTGTCGTGGGGCTTGAACTCTGGGCCTGGACACTGTCCCTGAGCTCTTCAGCTCAAGACAAGTGCTCTACCACTTTAGCCACAGTGCCACTTCCAGTGGTAATTGGAGATAAGAGTCGCACAGACTTTCTGCCCAGCCTGGCTTTGAACTGTTATCCTCAAACCCAACCCCCTGAGTAGCTAAGATTACAGGTATGAACCCACCAGGGCCCGGCTGAGCTTTGTCTTTTACCAAGATTTTTCATGTATCTTTCTTGATTCTTGAGTAAATCTCTTCTGTCTGGAGGCTTCTTAAGTTATTGCTGCTTTTTGGCAAACTCTCTTACTCTAGAATATAGGCATTTTGTGCTCACCCGCATTAAAGCTATCATCTGCTTTGTGATGTAATTTCTTATTTACTTGTCTGTCTCTCCCACTAGAGTATAAGTTTCTCAGAAGCAAGAAAATACACTGTTTAAGGGGCTGGGAAGGTGGCTCAGTGGTAGAGTGCTTGCCTTGCATGCCTGAGGCCCTGGGTTCGATTCCTTAGCACCACATAAGCAAAAAGAAAAAAAAAGCCAGAAGTGGCGCTGTGACTCAAGTGGTAGAGTGCTAGCCTTGAGCTGAAGAGCCGAGGGACAGCTCCCAGGCCCAGAGTTCAAGCCCCATGACCGACCAAAAAAAAAAGATGGAAAAAAAGTGAAAGTACACTGTTTATGTTGTTTCCCATTGCTAATGAGCAGTACATAATGGGCACTGTGTGAATGACCATTTCATTAGTTTTATAATAATGAAGACATGGATGCAAAAAGACTTCCTCAGGGCTGGGAAGGTGGCTCAGTGGTAGAGCGCTTGCCTTGCATGCCTGAGGCCCTGGGTTCAATTCCTCAGCACCATATAAGCAAAAAGAAAAAAGCCAGAAGTGGCACTGTGGCTCAAGTGGTAGAGCGCTAGCCTTGAGCTGAAGAGCTGAGGGACAGTGCCCAAACCCAGAGTTCAGGCCCCACGACCGGACCCCCCCAAAAAAATAAAAGACTTCCTCAGTCTCCTACTATTCTTATACACTTCTTTCTCCATAGAACAAACGAAAGAAGAAAAAGAAGAAGAAGAAGTTTCTAGACCAAGCTTCTGGTAATATCTCCCATAGTCCAGAGGAGCTGGAGGCCATGTGGCCGGCCCTTGCTGAGCAGCTGCAATGCTGTGCCCAGGTAGGTAGTTACGGAGCCCCTATCTTTTCCAAAGGTAGTGCTCTGGGTAGATGGTCTCCTCAACTCGCCTTGCCCATCTCTAGGATTCTGAGTTCAATGTAGAATCCCCAGTTCCCTTTGATGCGGCCTCAGAGGTGCCAGTGGAAGAGCAGCGGGCAGAAGCCATGGTGAGGATCCAAGACTGTCTCCTGGCTGGCCAGGCCCCACAGGCCCTGGCCCTCCTGAGGTCTGCCCGGTAAGCTTCCTGTCCACCCATCCTCCTGGTCTTTAAAGGCATGAGTAAGCCTTTTATGCTACAGGGTTCTCAGTCTGAAGGAGAGGGAAGTCCCATCAGAGCTCATACTGAGTACTGAGTCCATGAGATCTTTGATTGGATAACTGGAGTTTTTTTCTGTTTGAGAAATATCAGACATTGGGAGGAAAAAATAAAGATAACTCTTTTTTTTTTTTTTTGGTCTGGTCATGGGGCCTGAACTCTGGGCATGGGCTCAGCTCTTCAGCTCAAGGCTAGCACTCTACTACTTGAGCCACAGCGCCACTTCCGGCATTTTTCTTTTTGCTTATGTGGTGCTGAGGAATCAAACTCAGGGCCTCAGGCATGCAAGGCAAGTGCTCTACCACTGAGCCACCTTCCCAGCCCCTAAAGATAATTCTACTAGCCAAAGATAACCATTGTTAACATTTTGTTGAGTAATCTTAAGTGTCTTGTTCTGTGATGTATATAATATATACACTTCTACAAGTGAAGGAGCTAGGCATGGTGATGAATGCCTGTAATCACAACCCTCAACTTCTGAGACAGGATGATCACTAGGCTACACAGTAATGATGATGATGATATTATTATTATTATTATTATTATTAGCCAGTCCTGGGACTTGAACTCAGGGTCTGGGCACTGTCCCTGAACTTCTTTTGCTCAAGGCTAGCATTCTACCACTTGAGTCACAGCACCACTTCCGGCTTTTTCTGTGTATGTGGTACTGAAGAATCAAACAGAGAGTTTCATGCATGCTAGGCAGGCACTCTACCACTAAGCCATATTCCTAGCCCACAGTGATATTTTTAAAATCTAAGGGGACAGGGGAAAGATATGTGCTGGTGGCTCACACCTGTAATCCTAGCTACTCAGGATTTAAAGCCAGACTGGGCAGAAAAGTCTCCAAGACTCCATCTCCAATTAAGCAGCAAAAAAATCAGTCTGAAGGCATGTGATAGAATACAAGCTTTGATCCAGTAAACTGACTGTGTATGAGGCCCCTGAGTTCAAGCCCTCTAGTGCCAGAAGAGAGAGAGAAATGAGGAAGGGAAAAAGGGGAAGGAAGGGAAGAAGGGAAGGTGAGAGAGAGTGAGGAAAAGGAGAAGGAAGGAAGGAAAATTGTGTATGTTTTCAGAACATTTTAAGAATACTTTCTTGTTGGGCTGGGAAGGTGGCTCAGTGGTAGAGCGCTTGCCTTGCATGCCTGAGGCCCTGGGTTCGATTCCTCAGCACCACATAAGCAAAAAGAAAAAAGGCAGAAGTGGCACTGTGGCTCAAGTGGTAGAGCGCTAGCCTTGAGCTGAAGAGCTGAGGGACAGCGCCCAGGCCCAGAGTTCAGGCCCCATGACTGGACCCAAAAAAAAAAAAAAAAAGAATACTTTCTTGTCACCTATATTTTAATAATCATTAATGCCTCCAAAAAATGTGTACATTTGATCAACTAAGTGTTTAGGTTGTTTGCATTTTATTCTTAAATAGTTTTCATTGCAATGTGCCCTCTGAGGAACATTTTTTCTAGTATTGTCTCATCACTGCAGTAATAGTTTGCATTCTCTTTCTAGCTGAAAACTAAAATAGGTCTAAATTCCTTCTCCCATTTCTAATTACAACTCAGATTTCCTATGGCTAAAGGCTTTTGTTGTGTGTGTGCTCCAGGGAGGTATGGCCAGAAGGAGATGTGTTCGGCTCTCCAGACATTTCCGTGGAGGAGGAGGTGCAGTTGCTGAAACAAATCCTGTCTGCCCCACTTCCCCGTGAGTCTCCACTCCCACACTCCCAGCTCTGCTTGAGCACGACCATCACAGACATAATGATCTCATTCTTTGTATAGGACAACAGGGCCCAGCTGAGGGAATTGCAGAAGAAGAAGAAGAGGAGGAGGAGGAGGAGGCCGAGGAGGAGTTGCAGGTGGTTCAGGTTTCAGAGAAAGAGTTTAACTTTCTGGACTATCTGAAACGGTATGCGCTGAGAGGTTAGTCCCAGGTGGCAGCTGTGAGGATGAACGTGGATCTGATGCTGACCTCCCCTCTCCTTCCTGTTTTGGTACAGTTATGCCTCCTCAACTATTGTGCGAGCCTATGTGCTTCTGCTGCGAAGCTACCAGCAGAATAGTGCCCACACTAACCACTGCATTGTCAAGATGTTGCACCGGATCGCCCATGACCTCAAAATGGAAGCCCTTCTTTTCCAGCTTTCAATCTTTTGCCTCTTCAACCGTCTGCTTAATGACCCTGCTGCTGGAGCCTACAAAGTGAGAGGCTACCAAGGAATGGGGGCTGTGTCTGTATGTGCTGTGTGTGTGTGTGTGTGAACAATTTTAGGAGATAAAGGAGGCTAAGAGGTGTCGAGGACTGGGAGAGAAGAAGACAAGAAAGTCAGCAGACAGGCTGAGGGAGCTGCATGGGGGTGGACAGAAGAGTCTAAAGGAGGAGAAGAAATAACTAGGGACAGGTCTGTGTATTCATTTGGACCAAGATATCCTCAGCCTCCCTCTCCTATAGGAGCTAGTGACTTTTGCCAAATATATCCTGGGCAAGTTCTTTGCATTGGCTGCAATCAACCAGAAAGCCTTTGTGGAGCTGTTATTCTGGAAGAACACAGCTGTGGTCCGAGAGATGACTGAGGGCTATGGCTCGCTGGACAGTGGGTGAGCTTGGGAATGGGGAAGGATGGGCAGAAGGGGAAAAGGGTAAAGCAGACTCACAAAGGACCAAAACTAGAAGAGCTTGTAGCTCATTCCATCTAATGTTTCTTCCCCTTTCAGTAGTAAAAAACAGGCCCAGAAAGGGAAGTGAATACTTTACCTGAGGTTACCCCAAGAGAGGAGACTGGAGGCTATGTCTTCTATTTCTGCCATAGTTCTCTTCTCTCATTGGCCTTCACCGAGGTGGGAGTGGGGTATCCCCCAGGGAGTCTGTAGGTTCCCTCTCAAACTATACTGGCAACCAAGCTGAATATGGTAGTATCACATGTAATCTCAGTATTCAGGAGGCTGAGGCAGAAGGATCAGGAGTTTAAAAGAAAGTATTTAAGAAATGAGAGGATTCTTAGAAATGTGTGTCCTCCTTAATATGCAACTCCATCCCATTCCATTCACATTGCTCTTTTTTCCCATAAAACTCAGTCCTTGAAGGGACAAGTTCCCTAGGCCCAAGCAGGAAAACCTTGTAGTTTGACTGTGTGTTCCTAAGTAGAAGGAGGGTGCAGGGAAGGTTTTACTAACTGGTTCCTTTGAGTTACCTGCCTCACCTTTCTTGCTCCTTTTAGAACTGATTGGCGGGGAGGAGGGGTTGGGAAGGTAGCTCAGTGGTAGAGTGCTTGCCTTGCATGCATGAGGCCCTGGGTTCGATTCCTCAGCACCACATAAGCAGAAAAAGCCAGAAGTGG